AAGCAAATTGGATTTTCACTGTCCATAACAAATGGAAATGTTTGCTAGATTCCTAATGGACCAGAGTTAATCTCGACTCTAATATAACACAGGCATAAAAGGACAGGTGCTCTGTTTTATGAGGTAATAACCTGATTCTTTAATGGATAAGCTATAAAGCAACCGAACTTTTTGCCAGGAAAGTGGAACTACACACCCCTGTATTCCTCTCATAAGGTTATCAAGGTAAGAGAATGGCTGTCAATACGACAAGTTTTGGCAATATATATCCTTAACATGTGCTCCTGCTATCATGGGAGTTCAGGGTTTCCGTGCTGAAGTCATGAGCTCAATCTCCACATACAGACACCAGGCTGCTCAGTCAGTAGCCACACTTTGTTCCAGAATAGAACCCTGAACAGGGCTTTTCTGGCCCTCAAGCCTTTGACTAGACAAACTGCATCCACTCTATACGATTAGCCAAATAAATGCTTTTTAACATCCTTGGTAAGGACCCACTAAATTTACCACTGATTGTGCCCCCATTTACTCAATATTCCACCTGGTCACTAGGAGTGAGTAAGGAAAATCAACAGGAGGCATCTCACAGTGGGGACAGCATGGAAATTTGAACAACGGTATGTCAATTCCAGCTACAGTATTCACATAGCTGAAGTTGCGTATCTTAAGTCCACTATTTTCTCACAGCAAACAGACCCTGCTTTTTTTTTTAAAGGTTTGATGCCTAATACAGGAGGCCCCCAACCTGTGACACGATTGCTTCCACAGGAAGTGTCACAAGTCGGGGGTGTCGTAACTCGAGCCCTCATTTATAATAGGCGCTGTGAGCCGTCAGAAATGCAGGCCAAGGAGATAAGTCGGAGGTTTCTGGCCCCTTCCACACTTACAAAATGGCTGTAAGTGCGGGGGATCGGAACTCAGGCAGTCGCAAGTCAGGGGCCTCCTGTAGTGATCATAGTGTTTTTATTTATGTAGCCACAGTTATTCACAGATACTGTCATTATGTCATTTTATTAGAATGGGAACACTACACTGAATCTTTAATCTGCCTAATGTGAATTCATTGTTTGAAAAACCCTGAATAGACTGTCTAGGCTGAATGCTCCTGACATTAATAAAATGTGATGGCTCTCCTCTCCTGACAATCTCTCAGTATTTACTGACCACTGTACTTCTAAGGATAAATTTATAAATTCTAAGGATATTTTTATTCTTGGTTCAACTCCAGGAGAATATCATGGAAATATACCAGGCATGAACAGGGCCCATTCGTGGTTTAGAAAAATATAAGCTACTGAATGCTAATGTCTTTTTTTGGCTCCTTCTGTCTCCTGTGACTTGATAACACTGATTTCAGCTGTCAGCCTCAGTGCCAGGAAATCAGACCACCCACACCATCACAAGACGATATGAGCACTAGGCCTGTCAGCTGAAATCAGTTGCCACAGGGAACAATGCAGAACTAGAGACATGAAAGGTGAATTCACTCCTTACACAGTATTTTTGTACACAGGGCTAAGAGACCGGAAGGGGATTGGAAAGGGATTGAGGGAGAATGTCTTTATTGAAATAGCAGGGATTTAAAGCAGAAAATAGTGAAGATGGAAAACTTAAGGGACAGGGAAGGGCAATGATAACACTGCTGACTGATATCTTCAAAGTTTTAGTTATACCACAGTTATGCCTATATGCCCACACTGTGATTGAGATCGCATTGTGGTGGGCACTATGACTGTCCAAACACCATGATAGTCACTCTCTTTAAAACACCATATACTGTACAGTCTACATGGACAAAACAAATGAAGGGCCAAAAGAAAAACAAAGGCAAGTGAAGTGACCTTCCCAAAGTTACACTGCAGGCTAGTGTACAACCCAGATCTCCTGTCTTAGAACCATTACACTGCTGCCTTGTGGTATGTTTGTTCAGTCCAGCAGTGCAATCCTTTTGATGAGAAATATGGTAATTTCATTGACAAGCTCACTGCTTGTAGTAAGCAGTCAGTGTCATGAATCAGATTTTACTTCCTTCCTTTTTGGTACATGCGTGTTTAAAGTGCTGGGGAAAGGTCCAGGAAGTTGAGTACGCTGCTTTCATCAGTCATGTGGCAGGTACGGCAAGAGCAGTGGCAATGAAAGATCATATCTCCATCCCAGTTCACAAGGTGCTAAACTAGAGAAGACACTGAGGGCATGTTTACACTAGGAAATTGTTTTGAAATAACTAAAATCGAAATAACTCCCAAAATAACAAAATCAAAATAACATGTCCCCACTGTGGCACAAGCCTAGAAATCAGGCTGAGGCACACTCTGTTATTGTGGACAAGCTATCTTGATTTGGAGTCCCAAGAAACACCAGTGAGTAATTACTCTGAATGACTCTCGGGAGTAGTTATTTCAAAATAGCAGCAGCAGAGCATCCATACTAATACTATTTTGAAATAACTATTTCAAAATAAGTGTTATTCCCCGAAGGAAAGCGGGAGTACAGATTTTGAAATAACCAGCTTGTTATTTTTAAATAATGGGCTTGGTAGTGTGGATGCTCTGCTTCTTATTAATTCAAAATAAGGAGGGTGGGGTTATTTCCAAATAACCCCCTAGTGTAGACCAGGGCTAACTGGCCTACCAGGAACATTTTCAGAACTTCTCCCACCACTAGTCTAGTTCTGTCTCATCTCCACTGATGCTAGTATTTGTGGGAATGCTCATGTAAATGGTACTCAAGTGAGGTTTGCTATCATTATTGACATCTGTGCAGCTGCACCATTGCCATGGCAACAGCAAAGGAATTTCAGAAAATCTTCCAGGTAGACAAAGATAACAAGGGTGAGACAAGGGCAACTCAGCAATCAGCAGGGAAGAGCAGCAGGAGTGAAGCTCACTTTTGTTTCCCCTTCCGCCCCTGGGTGGAAGAAGCTCTCCTCTCACCTCCCGGGGTCATTTACATGGAGCAAATTCAGGCCACGCGACATGTTATTTCAAAGCCAACTTTGTACAGAACCTTCTTCAAGACCCCAGGCCTTCCCACCTCCCTGCAGTGTGTACAGCTGTGGCGGTTCACCATGTAGCTGAAAAGTTACAAAAGCAGCGACAGCACCTCTGGGCAGCCTATTTGGAGGAACAAGGCATCTCTCCCCACATTCCCAGGGAACAGCCGAAGAATGTGAAACTTCAAGGCAAAATGCAGGACAATGTAGCACTTTAAAGACTAACAAGATGGCTTATTAGATGATGAGCTTTCGTGGGCCAGACCCACGATGATAGAAAGCTCATCATCTAATAAACCATCTTGTTAGTCTTTAAAGTGCTACATTGTCCTGCATTTTGCTTCAGCTACCCCAGACTAACACGGCTACATTTCTATCACTAAACTTTAAGGCTACGTCTACACTGGCAGCTTCTTGCACAAGAACTCTTTTGCGGAAGAGTTCTTGTGCAAAAACTCTTCCACAAGAGAGCGTCTACACTGCCATGTGCTTTTGTGCAAGAAATGTGCTTTTGCGCAAGAGCATCCATGGCAGTGTAGACCTTATCTTCCACAAGAAAGCTCTGATGCCCATTTTAACCATTGGGGCTTCTTGTGCAAGAAATTCATGTTGCCTGTCTACACTGCCCTCTTTTGGAGGAGCTCTTGCGCAAGAGGGCTTATTCCTTGTGGGGAGAGGAATAACTCTTCCGGAAGAAGCCCTGTTTTAGAACGCTATACTGTAAATTTACTTCTGGAAGAACACTCGTGCAGTGTAGACAGCCGGCAAGATTTTGCGGAAGAACAGCTGTTCTTCCGCAAAATCTTGCCGGCTGTCTACACTGCACGAGTGTTCTTCCAGAAGTAAATTTACAGTATAGCGTTCTAAAACAGGGCTTCTTCCGGAAGAGTTATTCCTCTCCCCATTAGAAGATGCCACAGGACTTCTTGTTGTTCATGCAGCCAGAAATGTCTGCTATTTTGGCATCCAGGAAACAATTTCACCATTCACACTAATACAGGTGTTCATGTGTAGTGTATCAATGTGTTATTAAATAATAACTGAATAAAATAATATTAAATAAATAATTAAAAACAACATCCATGTTTTGATTGTTTTTTATTTGGACCTCAAGTGTGTAGTCGGCCCCCGAACTGCTGTTTGATAGTTAATGCGGCCCTCGGGCAGAAAAGTTTGGAGACCCCTGCTCTAAAGGATGCAGAGACAGAACTGCGCCACTAAAAGGCTGACTTCCAAAACCCGCCACATCTCATGTTTAATTTAACCCATAAATACGATAAACAACCAGAAGTCCTGGGGCACCTTATAGAGTGACTAACAGATTTATTAGAGCATAAGCTTTTGCGGCAAAGACCCACTTCCTCACATGCATCTGACGAAGTGGGTCTTTGCCCACCAAAGCTTAACGCTCCAATACATCTGTTAGTCTATAAGGTGCCCCAGGACTTCTCGTTGTTTATGCAGATTCAGACTAACACGGCTACCCCTCTGATACGCGTAAATACGATAGTTTCCATTCACTCGGGCTGCAGCCAGCGACTGCCACTAGGGCCATCACTGTACCCGGCTGCCCGGCTCCCCGATCCAGCTCTAGCACGACTGCAAAGCGCCCGGACACTTAAACTCCACTTTGCCTGTCAGCAGACCGGACCCTTCGCAGGTTTTTCCCCTCTGCTGCACTTATCCCTTTTTAAGAGCCCCATCTTAGAAATAAAGCCGCGCCGGTAACACGCCGTTCTCCCTTGCACGGTGCCAGATTGAAAAGATCCCCCCCACCCTTCTGTATTTTCTCCAATGCTGCCTGCAGCTCAGCAATACAAAGGAGACGAGAGTCGCGCACATCTTGCCTCTGGACCAGAAACAATCAAGCCCGCGAGGACAGAGCCTCCCTGGCGAAGCACCAAAGCCCAATCCGCTCAACAACGTGGCTGCTTGCTGGCCACGCCGCATCCCGCAACGGATGGGCGCCCGGCGAGACACGGGGTAGCAGCGCGCTGGCTCCGCTCACCTTCATCATGCTGGTCCCGTTAGCAGTGGCTTGCAAACGAGGCAGGGAGAGCTTCCCCCAGGCGCGGCCCCCGCTCCCTTCGGTGGGCGACCAGGCTCTGCTCAATGCAGCGCCTGGCTGCTGGGACACGTCGCCGCACGGAGCAGAGCGGCGGCTGGAGGGGTCCGATTGCATCAGCGCCAAGGCAAACGCGGCTCACCCTTGTCGCCGCTAGGGAGCGCAGCCGCTAAAAGCGCGGGACAAGGGCTGGTTGCGGCCAGGCCGGATCTGTCTTCCCAAAGGAGCAGCAAGGGGCTTCGGCCCCTTCCCCAAGCCGGCCACGGCCTAAGCAAAAGCCCCAGGCACACATCCACTGCGCTATGGGCCCGGGCTGTGCTGTGAGGGGTCTCAGTGCATGGGTGTACTAATCTGACTGCCTCCCAGCCGCTAAAAGCGCGGGACAAGGGCTGGTTGCGGCCAGGCCGGATCTGTCTTCCCAAAGGAGCAGCAAGGGGCTTCGGCCCCTTCCCCAAGCCGGCCACGGCCTAAGCAAAAGCCCCAGGCACACATCCACTGCGCTATGGGCCCGGGCTGTGCTGTGAGGGGTCTCAGTGCATGGGTGTACTAATCTGACTGCCTCCTCACCCTACCCAAACATGGACAGCCACGACCAGTTTGGATCCATCTGTGGTCTCCAGAATGCCCCCCGAGAGGGTATTGTGCCAAGTTCTGCAGAATCCAGACAGAGCCATACCTCCAGGAAGTTTTTGCACTGAAAATATTTCACGGGGACCAAGCAACTTCAGTTTTTTCCCCCTGCACTTCCTTTATAAACACCATTCAATGCCGATTTGCTCTCGTCATTTCCTTTTTTCTGCTTTCAAGACGGAGAGTCAACACCACTCAGTTTACCCTCCACTACTACATTCTTCAACCAATACGACATTCTTCAGGTCTCACTGCAGCCAGACTTATCATGCACACGTCACATTTTCCTGCAAATATACACCACTGCAGGTGTAGCTCTTCCAGTGGGAGTTTCACTGTGGCCAGGCCCCCATTTTTGAGCAGAGATGGCACAGGGAATAAAACATCAGAGCACCACCTATATGTGCAATCCCACCATTGCTACTGCCAATTGAGCTGCACCAAAGGTGAGAATTCTGGAGAAAATATGCTAATGTAGACCCAACCTAATCTCCACAAATAAAGGGCGCTTATTCACCTCTTCACTGATTTTTTCCTTAATTATCATTTTTTTAATCAATTTTCCTTCTTCTTGCCTACTGATGAGCAGCTGTGTCCAGCTCTGGAAAAGACTCTTTTCTTCTATTCTACTGCCAAGTGAATATTTCAGTACAATGGTTTGCTATGCATTTGTGGGAATGATTCTCCCTTGAATATATGTATGTGTAGTTGCAAAAATAACTCTGGCAAAGTGTTGTCATGGGAACACTTCAATGATAAACAATGAAAGAATGATGATTTTTATGGCTGGGAGTGGAATTACAGGAAAAAGGGTGGCCAATGCATGCTAGTTGTACAAATCCAACAGATAGTGTGCTGCTAGCTAGAGATTTGCAAAGACTTCTTGTATTCCATGAGCTGCCACCCTGTGAACTGACCTGCTAGCTAGAGATTTGCAAAGACTTGTTGTATTCCATGAGCTGCCACCCTGTGAACTGAAAGTAATATGCCTACAGTGTAAGAACTCTTAATACAAGGACACAGCTGAGAAAAAGCCAGGTGCTTCCTGCTGTTGCAACAGCTGCTTGTTCATCATTATTCAACTGAATGACTGCAAGCTAGAGCAATGCCAGAAATGTGCTTCCATTATTTAACTTACAATATTAATGACCTTTTAAACTGTAAAAATAACTAAACAACGTGTACTGTTATTGATTTGTGTGTGTATGTGCACACATGCTGAGGCATTCAGGCTTTTGATAGTTTGAATTATCTGACATTCTTAAGCATCGATTTACACCTACTTTATGGGCTCTGTTTAGTAGCAAGGGAAAAGTTCCCTTCTACAGCAGGAAGGTCTGCAAAATACCTTGTGCATCTTCACAGCAGGGACAGCAGGGTTAATTCATACACTGATAAATGAAGTTTACATGAATTTGTAACTATCATATATATAGCGCCCCGCCCCCCCTTCCCCTCCCTCCGTGGTGGCTCTGCTGAGCTCTGCTTGGCTGGGCCCCAAGGAGTGCGGCCCCCAAACAGCCCCTTGCCACCGCTTGCTCCCCCACCGCTTGCTCCCCTGCCGCTCAGCTGGGCCCCGGCTAAGGTTGCCAGGTAGACCCCGCTAAAAAACCGGACACACTTGTCCGCGGGGGGAGGGAGGGACCGGCTGGAAGGGGGGCAGGAAGCAGAGCTGGCAAGGGATCAGGGGCTGTGGGGCTGGAGGGGAGGATGGGGGGGCCCAGAGGAAGGGGGGTGAGAAGCAGGGCTGGCGGGG